ATTCAAACAAGTAAATGCAAGATTGTCAGTCTTTCAAACCCAGCATTTATCTGCCATTTGAAGGATAATTTAATCAGATCTGTATTACAGATATGAACAAAACTGTATAACATAATATAAACCTTTTAATTTGTACTATTAGAAAGACAAAATTTCATGAAATTCGATGATACTGAATAATCATGTCTCGCGAACTTAAAGTGGTTTACAGCATGCATACAAAAATATCATAGGTCACTAAAACCTACAAGTAGAAAATCCAAATCATATTCAAAATAACATTCTCACCGTTTATTTTGTGGTCTTCTAAATTCTTTTGATCTACATTTTCTATATAACTCAATGGAGTTTCATCAACTGCATGTAAATCTATAAAGCCTAATATAGCACTAATGGCTTCCTCTTTTATGTCTTGTACTCTTCTGTCAAATTCATCCAAGTCCTCATCACGAATCTGGTTTCGTGTCTTCTCCATCTCTCGCACATTAGCTTTCAGTTGCTATGGAAACAGAATACATGTTAAAGCCAACAGTTGGTGGTCATCACAGCGCATCAAATATGATATGGGTCCTATGCAACATACATATCACATTTAAAGTACAATGTTTGTTTACACATATTATAAACGTGTACTATACAAGTACCATACTATATATGGTCATTCACATACATTCAAATAATTAAATATGAACATAAAAATTTAACACAATTTTAAGGGCTACATGTTTATTGAATTGGACACATGTCAGCAACATTTGTTTCATTTGTCCTGTACAAACAATATTTTGGGAGAAAAACATTTTGGGCATTATTTCCGTAAAGCATCATGTTAGAAAAAATCAATTTTCATCTTCAGAATGTCTTAATAAATCATGACAGCCAACCAGAACCCATCTTATAACTACATATAATTTCTTTCCACCATATATAACCAATCAATTACCTAAATAATAAATGACCAAATAATCAACAATTTCCTGAATGTTTGTCACCATATTTTTCATCTGGGTTTTGTGAACAACAGCATGGTAGCCAAAGCAGCTACCATAAAATCTGTATTAAAAGCTGTATACCTAATAGAAGCCGCACCCATTCTTTTTGAATAATTGAGAACCAAAAGTTCACTATTTCTCATATGTGTAGGTGCTCTAATAGAAGCCACATTCCCTCTATGGCATTGTACCATTTTAATAGAAGCCGCCGTTTCTAATACAGGCACTTGCTGGAGTTTGAAAACAAGGCTGAACACCTCTAATAATTTTCTCTAGTTTGTCTTGATATATGAAGTCAAAAATTAACACTTTAGGCTAGGTTGCCTGGTGATAAACAATAGTGTGCTTGAACTTGTGGAATTTCCAATACAAATACAGTGTCAAAACAATATAACTGCCCCTACCCCAACACATGATCACCAACTACAACATTTAGTATCGAATAGCTTTAAAGAATTGACAAACATACCTGTACAGTTCTACTTGCATTTATGTGTTCTGTATTCAACTTACTCCATTGTTGTGATCTTTGGTACTGAAATAAACCAGAAATTTACCATTTGATTAAATAATTGGAAGTAAAGAGCACAAATTCATTACAAGTTATTCTTTGTTTCACCCAATGTGGCAATATAAATTTCTTTTTAAAACTGGTAAAAAAGGTGTATACATGTACTGGGATTTCACTAAGAATTACGTAGCCTTATCTGTGGTGACTGATAGAAAATTGTATTTCTTGCAGCTCGGCCTTATATAATATAATCTGTGAACAAAAGGTACCCCTTTTTGTATTCAAGTATTATATAAAGTAAGAATTAATGCAATCACTGAATTTACCCATTTGCCCTATAAAACTGTGAATCTTTTCTGCAGAGATAAAACTTGTATTTAGTCATATTTGTAATCTGTTTTTTTTTGTGGCCATTGTTTTGACGAAAATGTCACTTTCTGACAGCAAATGATGAAATGTGGATGGCATTCAAATGTGACTATAATCACTGATTCAATCACTGGGCAAGTTTTTACAGTAGTTCAATGTCATCCATTCAGCAAATATTTTAATTTTAACAACTGTAAGTTACCAAATCTAAGTTAAATAAATGATTCACTACTTGGTGTTAAATTGGATGAAATTTGTATAAATGGATTGTTTTTTGCTGATGATGTGGTGCTTATTGCACCAAATGAGGTCCAACTCAAATCCATGTTAAATGTCACAAACCATTTCTGCAAGCTATGGAAGATGACAATTAATGAGGAAAAGTCAAACGTGTTGATCATTAACAAGAAAGTTAACAAAAACAAAGATTGGCAGATTGGGAACTCAAAGATAAAAGAAGCGTCTGAGTATAAATATTTGGGTTATTGGATTACACGTAACTTGTCAGATCATACACAATGTACAAAAATGTCTGAAAAGTTTAACAAGTTCTTCCCCATTATGAAATCAATTCTTGGTAACCATGGCAATGTAAATAGAGTAGATTATGGTATATCCCTGTGGAACCACATTATTAGACCTGCCTTAGAGTATGCCTGTGAGTTA